CGTTACGGTGGAATACTTTGTGTATAAAGTTATAAGCCTGATAATCGAACCCCCAACAATTACATAAGAACAGATAACAGGTAGAATAAAGCAGTTCTGTTAAGTGAATTTCTACCGATTCTGCTTGATGACAAAAAATGCTACGAGAAACATCATATACAGAGTTCAACCATCGATCGATTCAGTTTCATATGACCGCCACTACATACACCACCCGCTTATACATACACATATATGTATACATCTACGCATTTATCTAAGGGAGCGATGTTTCAGTCAGCTATAGACGGTGTTTCTAGACACACATGGAAATGATAAATTGATCAATAGTATCCATTCAATGTGTGGTCCCGCTAAAATAGCGGCCAATGAAGTCCTAGAGAAATCTGTAGGTTTATTTTTTCGATAAATATTATATAGCCGTTATAAGTTATACAGTTGAAATTGGACCGGACAGTCTATCTGCAATTGTATTCGTACTTGTACACAGATTGCAATGTCTATTAGTCCTATTTCAGCTGGTCGAAACAGGTCGAAATAGCTTCTCAAAATAGTCTACGGTTTAGTCTAAACCTTAAACTTGTTTGTTGTACGTCGATTACTATACATCAAGGTTGATATCTATAATTCATGAGTTAAAGTGGTTTGTTTCTGGTAAGCGCAGCATGATCGTGCTGTTCTCAAATCAATTACTTATCAATATTATATTAGCAGCTTGTCCTTTGCGCCAGCAGTTATTTATGCTGCGGTTCACGTTCCATTCGGACGACGACTTACTGTATATCGAGCGATTCTGGCCTGGCCCAAATTCGACGGGGTTGGAGGTCTTTAGTTCACAGCCAATAAGGTAACATGGTCAGCCGGGAACGAGACATCTTTTTAATCGTTTGCTACCGCCCAAGAAAACAGTTTGACCCTGTGCGACTTCGTATCAGTTTATGTACACTTGTTATTATATTCATTCGGAGTTCGACTGTTCGAAGTTCGGCATCGGGATGCCGTCGCTAGCTGGACCCTATCTGTATTGTTATGAGGACTGGTAATATGTCCATAGGTTGGAGCGGCGGACCACTTAACGCTGCACTTGACTCATTTTTGTTATTTTTGAAGACGCATTTCTCTACAGTTGTGCAAACCTACCTCAATACAGGTAGCCTGAATGATTAATAATAATAATAATAATAAAACACATATTTAGTGTCGAATATATATAACCGAGTTTAAAAGTGTTACATGCGCATACCGTTTGCCATACGCTTATTGCTGTCGTGCAGCATCTATATAAGGCAAGTTATCAGTTAAGATCAGTTCCCCAACTCGAAAGGTCCCAGTCATTCTCAGCGCCAGCATGGCTGGAAGCTGAAATGGAACTAGAGATATGCGGCACCACACAGCTGTTCATCTAAATGGAAGCCAAGAAGAAGAAGAAGAAGAACAGATGAAATTCTCCTGTTGGATGAGGCTGTAACAACTTGCCAATTATGACTCCGAGTCGACGATCAAGACCCTCAAGGAGGTCATCGTTCGCCTCAGTAACAACATCAACGAAATTAATGTAGAAATTATTGGCATATAGGATCAGTTCCAGGGAAATACAAGCATGAGTAATATCGTTAGTGGATCAAGAGAATAGATAGCAGAAGGCCAATGTGGCTAACTGCATAACAGAATTCAGTTATGCAACTTCGCTGCGGCGACGAGCTACTGGCCATTCGTGCTGATACACAGAGCTTATTATGAACTAAATTAGTAATAATAAAGAACAGTAAATAGCAAGCAGTGTCATCTCTGTTAGGCACTGACTCCTGCAGTCTGTCAGGATGTCCTGGGTTTACCAGCCTCTACTTTTAAAGAAAGACAAACTTGCATCTATCTAAGTTATTGTTAACTTCCCGAAATTAAGAGCTAGCTTTAAATTTTTTTCAATTTGTTCAGATTATCGTTGAGATTTTGAATGTTGCTTAATGGGATATAACGCAATTTGGCAAAACATCTGAGTTAAAATCGGTTGAAAAAAATGGGCTCCGCAGAAAAAACCTCTTCCAGCTTCCGAGGCCAATCTTCAGTAGTCGAGTTTTCATCGTTCGAAAATCACAGAGCTGCAAAAATTAATCGACGATTGATGAAACGCGGAAACCAACTAAAAACGGGTCCTTCCATGAATTGATGACAGGCGAATTGAAAGTGCATGTAATTTGCGGAAATTTAATTAACAAAAAATCCGCCTCGAGATACAGTCGCCAACCGGAACGGGACCAGACGAGAAAATGGCGTCGTTCTGCAGAGAAATTAAGCTCGGACACCAGGGGCATCTTCTCGTTCGCTGTCTCAATTCTCTTGAGAAGCTCACGGACTATTAAGACGGCAACCGAAATCACTCAGTTACTCGATGAAGACGCCAGACTTTATCGTTATGCCTCAGTTGCTTCCTAGACTAAGTAAAGGAACATCCAACGTTGGTTTTAGTGCGCTTATCCTCTCAATCTAAATCCGGTTGATTACGGGACTTTCTATGTTCCAAAAAGGGTAGTTGATGAGCATGCATATCCCACTATTGACTTCTTTTGAGAAGCTATAGGAAAAGAAACTACATATAGGATGGCTAATGATAGATACATGGCTGTCCTAAAAATGCGAAAAAAAAAAGTAAAAACGAGTATTTCTCACAAATATTACAAAATTATCCTTCTAGCCCGACTAGTTTAGAAGGTAATAAATGTTAAGGTCTGCAGGATCCGCTTATAAGGGCCTAATATTACTATTCAGGGCATATACCTGCTGTCATATTGACTCGAAGGTAAATTTTTTGACAGCGAAGTGCAAAGTGTAGGAATCTGCCCAGAATATTCAGAATTGTTTAAAAGGTACCCAGCCAATACCGGACTATTTCCACCGGAAAGCTCTTGACGGTTAAAGGAAATCAATTAGACTTGTTTAGGCTAAGTGATCAAAGTTTTCTTATCGAATCAGCCTTTTTTTGCAGGTAGGGATACATAAAGCGGTCTGTTATTCTAGATTAACATAAATAAATTAATTTCGATAAGTTCCGCGCAGATATATAATAATATAATAAGATCGGACAGTTAAGAACTTTGACGGGCAACAGTCAGCTGTAGATGACTTGGAACGGAATACCTAGGAGGGGCGTTTCTGTTTTTAGAAAGTTGATCCCTTCTCGTGAATGACTAGCTTGTATAGGTTTACGTCTGCAATTTCGGCAGTTGGGCTGAATGCTTCTTTGGGCCATGGCCAGAAATGAGCGGAAGGTAAGGGACTAATCTATGTTGATTTTCTGTACTGTACAACAGAACATGGCTAGAACAGGCGCTAAGCTTCTCGCTACATAGAGTAGACGAGCTTCGAAACAACTACTAGACCAGGTATTTTCTTTTTGCTCTGTATAGGAAAATGATCATGGGCCTTAAGTCAGCTCTCTCGACATTTATGTCCGGTATAAATCCAAGCCACTTCACATAATACCATAGTATAAATCCATACTGTAATGTTGCTTAAGTAAAACCCGTACGCTTAATTGGTTAGGAAAACGCGAAAAAAAAATTCGATAGCGTACGCTGACATACTGCCAGATTCACTTCTAATATATAAGTAATATGTCAAGATAAAGAGTTGGTGTGTCTAAATTAGCTGACTGTTCCTATGCTTAATTAATCTGCATAACCAATTTAATCTGCGCAAATGATAAAACTATCGCACATAAAAATATGATATTTTATTAAAAAAAAATATAGTACATATACCTCTTTAAAATCATTTTGATGTGCCTCGAACAATTTTTGCGGCATTATTTTTTGCATCGTGAGCAAACGCATTTAAGCCATCGCTAATCGTTTTAATTTATTTCTTCGATTTCGCGAGAAAATCGTTTCTGAAATATTTCACACAATCTATAGGAGAACCAATTTTAATAATAAACACACTTATTAAGAGATCTATAAGCACAAATATATATTTCTCTTAAATAACGTAACTGTTTAACAGCAAAAATAAATGTTGTCAAAAAATCGTTACAAACATTTCCAATGAACTGTCTTTATTTTTCATAGAAATATTTACCAATCCCTGGTGTAAATAACGCATGCACATAGTTTTTGTATAACAATGCGGCCATTTTTTTTGCATGTGAAAATACTTTATGTCATCGAACACTCCTGCGTCTCTGGACTAAACACCGTTTATATCGTGCGTCGTTTTTTCTGTTCTGAACCTCTCAATTTTCTGCCGCTAGGACACGATTTGACGTCGCTACCGCCCCATGTTTTAAATTAGGGCTTGTCCCCCCTTATGTGTTTTGTCTGCATATTTATGTGTGCGTGCTTGCGCGTTTTCTTGGCCAATAAGTAAGACCGGCGATTAACCGCCGTTGGTTCCCACCGTTGGATTGAACGCGATGATAGAACAGCCGCATGCTAACGTCGTGTACGACTGTTGACTGTCGCGACTCCATTTAGTCGCCGGTCATTGTCGCCATCGGCAGGCAGGGGTCTTACGCCGTTGTCGTATGATCACCGCTGGCAGGATTGTACTGGTCGGCGGCGTGGTCAAGCTGGCCACTCGAATCGGTGGCGGCGGCAGAAATCAAAAGAAGACGAGAAGCGCCACGACAAGAAATCCCGCAAGGTCATCCGTCGGCCTCCTTGAGAGATCCCGGCCGGCTAGCAAGCAAGTTGGGGGCTGCGGGAGGGGGCCGGAGGGGTAAAGCAGCGTGAGCATTAAACAGGGACGGGCGGGCGGGCGGTCGGTCGGTCGGGCGAACGAATGAATGGAGAGTGAGAAGCGAGCGCAGTACTGCTTTCGCTCATAAGGATCACAGCAGCAAGTACAGCTTCTACACCGGGACCGCTACCTCTATCGCAGCAGCTTCACACTGCTCACTGACGGCTGGATATTAGTATCACTAGCACTTCGGCGACGGCGGCCACAACAGTTGTTGCTGGTGCTGCTGCAGTGCTTGTAATCGTCGCAGTACAGACGAAGTTTGCATAATAACAGTGCAAATGCATAGGGAGGGGCTGACCACGACCAGCAGCGGACGGACACACATACAGACACAGGAGGCGAGGGCAAATGAATGAACGACTGAAAGAAACAGCGGGTAGAGGCACGAGGGGTGGCAGCGCCAATAGTAATAGCAGCAGACAACGAGGGGGCACTAGCAAACTACAAAAGAAACCGATCGCTCCGGAGCTCTGCCGGTCAGATGCACCTAAACACGCGCGTCGCGAACAACAACAATCAATTCTTTTTTGTCTTCTGCGTATGTTTTCAACTATCAATTGCTGCATGAGGATTACTGCTACCGTTAAAGTATCGGCTACTCGAAGTGTTGTATGGACCTAATCAAGGTTGTGATTATGATCGGGTAGGTTACGCGCCCTCAAATAGGAAGAAGATACACGTTTCTACCAGAGGACTAATAATTAAGACCTTTATTGGTCTTCTTTATTGAAGTGCGTGTAATATTCTCATCTGTGTTATCTGAAAATACCTCAAGCATCCACTACTCGCGCGTATGGGACGTTGTGAGATGTGTTACAGAAATCAAAACAAGATGTTCCTATTACAAGTGAGTTCTGATCCGCTCTCTTCGTAAACAAATTGAAAATGCTTCAAACGAATCTTATACATTGGGCGTAGTCTATGATGGCAAATGTTGACGACAAATCAATATTAGTATGAAGTAAGAATTTCCCTATTTTATATTTAATTGTTCAGCGTTATGACTTTATTACAAGTAATGTCATTCTACTTGACGAATTTTGTACCAGTCATCACGTCAGCGTTTCACGTGGAAATTTTACCACTTATTTAATATAGAAGAATCCTTTTATTTAACGTCACATAATATAGCCCGTATAGGTATTATATTACTTTGTTACAAGTCTGATTGCCTATCTAATGTAAGCCAAGTTCTGAATTTACTTGCGTACATTTCTACAAGTACCCGCCACAGGCAAAACAGTGGGTGAAATGCGGACCTACACATATAATATCGGCTCGATTTTCTCTACTCAGATAATGATTATACTGGAGTATGAGCAGTTTGAAGTCATCACCTTTACGGCACAGTGAGCCCCATTCGCATCTCGGCTATATGGAGCAACAATAGAAACACTTCTAAATGATTCTGTCTGTTGCCATACTTGGCTGCAATCCCGGCATAGCCCTTGGCACCACGCTGGCATAATGTTAATTTTGTTTTGGCACAATACTGTTGCATAACAGTGTTCACGTAATACTTGTTTTTCTAAGTGACGCTTGTTAGGACCAGCAAGTCCTTCGCTTACCGACAAAGCATCAAGGGCGCGCGATGGCCGTGCGACATGACGTTCATGTGTCCGGGTACACGTCTCACAGTAACAAAATTGGGATACGCTTTCAGGAGGTACTCATTTGTTCCATCTGATCCAATCGCTGCCTTACGCTTATTTTTGTCAAGACATCGAAAACGTATTTCAAACAATTTTATATATATATATATATATATATATATATTATGTGTGTGTGTGTGTAATCTAATATCATGTTGGTTTGTCCTTGCTAATAATGAGCCTGCCTTTCAAAATACCAAAGAGCTATAAAACAATGATGGGAAAAATGGTTTAGCAGGCGGAGGCCGTAATCGTAATATTTATTGATACATTTACGTATCGGCCATTATCATATGTCACGCTATATAAATGGAATTAAGCTTAAAAATATGTTCAGTAACAATAAATATCACTTCCTTATTACTGTTACTGAAGATTTAATTGCGAACGCCAAAACATAATTGTTTTGACATATAACATCTTAAATGACTCAGTGCTGGAAATAATTGAATTGTGAACTTTTACATCTCTGTAGCCTGAGGTTGGTCGGGGATAAAATCTCCGCATTAGAAAATTGTTGGCGTGAATTGAAAGAGATTACTGCAAAATAGCTATTCTTCATCCATCTCTAACCACCGGATGTGTTTCGACTGTTGTAACGGTGAAGACACGAGTTCGTTCATTCTTATTCTCTGCTAGTCAACAATAACATTGCTTCTTATTATTCACCGTTATTGTTACTGGCTACTCCGTTGGCCTTTGTTAGAAAACGGTGGTACGTGCACAGGCGCATGCGTGCGTGCGTGCTGTGTCCACACTATGGTTTACCGCTGCAGTGGTAGGGTGTAGTCGGCAAGGGCTTCGTCGTAGTGGTGACCGCAGTTACCTACATCAACCACTGCTGCCGCTCCTATGCATCACCTAAATACGGAAGAACATTGCGACGACAAATAACACGAACGAAAATATTGTCGCCATATTCTGTTTCTGACATATACATGTAACAGATAAGGACATCTGTCGTCATTTCAGTCACGACGCCATTTTTTCACTCGAAATAGGTCCTAGTCGTTCGTCGTAGCGACGATGCATACACTCAAGAAAGCACAAGTTGCTGAACCTACATACATACCGTTATCGAACCAAATACTTTCTCCAGTGACCGTTACCACCGACCAGACATTTCTTAGTTGAGTGTCATTCAGATAGACAGACGATGGCACTTCCATTTTAAACGACCGCCAAAGACGTTAACAGAGTACTACTGAATAGATCCGGCAAAACGATACCTCATAGTGTATTTGGCAGCGCTCATTCCTGTATACGAGGTCACCAAACTGCTAGTTTAGCAACAATGCTTTGGCCGGCAAGGTCATCTCTTGATACGGTCTGTCCTGCGCGTAACCTTGCCCTAACATATTGCCACGCCTAGATATATAATTACCGTTTATTATTTTTATTAGCTATGCGAAGGGAACAGTTTATGTAAGATATAAAGGAATTAATTTAACGATTCTAAAAGAGCCAACTTGATGGGAAGCTCATCATTGAGGGACCTAAAGTTTGCGTTCTTTGCAACGGCCGGTGGATAGACAAACTGTACATGACGACGACGACGTTGTCTAAATGGCCGAGCTGCGCATCCAAGGAGCATGCCGTGAAACGGACTATCCCGGTGGCATACATTTGGTAAACTACCGCCGCTCCTACCGGCGACTTCGCGTACGAACGTAGTTTATGCCCAGCAACTCCTGTTGGCAGCTATAGCGGTGACGGCGGTGGCAAGGAACAGCCCATTCAAGCCGCGACGATCGTATCGTTAACGCTCTGACATGTTCTCACCTCGTCGGTCGTGCCAAGAACTCAGTTCTGGTTTACGGGCCGATTTCAGTATTTTTAAGCATGTGTTGCCTGCTATTTATAGTAAAAGAATTATTTCGTCTGGCACAAGTACAATATATATGCAAATCAAATTTCTGTTTTGGGGACATTTGTAATTTCTAAGTCGTCTAGAATTTATTTAATCCAAATGCGCTACTTTTAGCCTAGCGGGCCAAGAATATGTCAGACTAATCGCTTATCTGAAACAGACTCGCGGCGATTGCAATATACAGTGATTACCATAATTCTCAAATCGATTTCTACGGAACTTGCTTTCAAGAACTGGTTATTTCGAAAAAAAAAATCGTAATGTGTTTTTTAAATGCGCAATAGTCATTGGCTTAAAAAACCGAATAAAAGCTCTGACCCCTCTAGAATAGCTGGTAGTATTTACACTCCGTTTCGAGCGTACTCGCCATAGATCATCTGGATGAATATCTAAACGTGCTAGCTAGCATCGGCGTAATAATATTATCTGCAACATAATAATAATAAAGAAGTTTTATAAATCGGGTACATATGTGTAGCTACCACTGCGCCAAGGAATGATAGTACCTCCCCTTACCTCATCTGTTGGTATCGTCGCTGCAACGGAACAACGGACCGAATGATAAGCGGTGGCTGTTAAAGGAGAAAATCAGGCATCTTTTACGGTCAACGGATACAACCCGCCGGCGGGAGCCAAGACCTTTGTCCTACAGACATTAGCATAGTATATGGTCTTTGAGAGTTATCAATATCGTTTGTAATCAGGGCATACCAGTAAGATGATCAGCGTAATTTTAAGCTTTTTAAGAACCAACTTTAGTGCAAAAGTGAAACATCGGTGGTGTATTACATTTCCACAAGTGGCACCCCTCCGCAGAGCATTTTCAGACTATCCCCAAGTAATAAAACTGAGACGCACTTAAGTAATAGTCAAAAGTGGACACTGAAGTAGTCGCAACGTGTCCACGTTTATACGACTATTAACAATTAGTCAACAGGGAAACGGATATGCACAATTTACCTGCAGTCTCACACCAAACGCTCGTTATTCCTAATGTCACTAACTACGGTATTATACGTAAGTACACAGCTGGCTGGCTGCCTGCCTGTAGTAGATTTTCGTTACCTTTCTGTACGATACTGGCGTTTGTTGTAATTGTCGTTATTGTTGTTATTAGCGGCGGCTTTTCGATCTTTTTCTGACTTTTTGTCTCGAAAATGTGTCGACAAAAGACCCTGAAGCCGGAGAAACCAGCGCCATACGGAGGTGGACGACCGGTCTGATTTTTGCTGCTTTTCCGTCGCACGTTTTTTGCAATGAGTTGTTGGCCTTGAATGAATAACACCAACGAACTAATAGGGCGGTACCAACAATTGTGCGACCGCTTCCTGTCAATAAGCTGAAGAACTGCGACGGCACAGAGGAAGGTCAGTAGGTGGCACATTTTTCGATGCCTCACCATCATCATCGCAAAAATGTTTGTGCCGGCAGCGCTGCCATCGCCCTTGCGGCGCCACTGTTTTGGCGCTCGCTAACTATTCCACCCTCTGGTGGATGTCATCGTCATCTTTGTTTACCGTGACACGAAAAATAACTCCGGGCGTCGCGGGCAAAAGGGAGGAGGGTACCGGGAACCGCGAGAGAATGAGAAATAACTTGTACTCACGATTACAGTACACCTCTTATAGCTTTTGATAGTTTGGTTGGTAGCAAACCTGTAAAGAGAGAAGATAGACAGACGACGGCACGCACATAGCTGTTGTGGTGATTAATCTGTGGCGGCACGGCAACGGTAGTAACAATAGGAACAGCGATAAGATTAAACTAGTAGGAAATCACTAAATTAACTCTCGGGTAGTTATTTGCATGCATAAAGCCATTTGAATTCAGCGTTTTACCGCATTATACAAGATAAAAAAAACATAATTGCAACTATTGTTTCGTTCATTATTATCGTAAATGGATCTCCTACACAGAAACTTAATAATGCCTATAAATTTAGGTGCTGCTTATCATGATGAAGACTGAGGTTATTCGGCCCTTTAGCTATTCTGGCCCGGTACTCTGCACACGCTGCTTTGATTGATCTTATTTACATAGAGTGAATTTTTATTGGTGCAAATTTTTGTCATGAAAGTATTTTTCAACTTTAAATTTTGTGATCGATACAAAACGAATGGTGACTAGTTATTTTTGCGAGTAAACTGATCAGTGCATAAAGCGCTTAAATTTATCAAGTGCCACAAAAATTTGTAGGTTGAGAGTAACGCCTATATGATACTGTCTTTGTCTGATCGGTTTTGATTATACAATTATATTCTCCAAAGATTTTACGAAGCAGTTGAAAAATTATAATTATCTTCATAGCTACCTATAAAATTACGTATTTACTAGAAACACGAACCCCTCCGAGCAATGACAAGCTACAAATAACGCAATGCGTCAAGTTGCGTCACAGATAGTTCATTTACCAGCGTTTATTTTTACAATCAAGCAAACTAATTGTATGATAATACATGCCACGCTGCCACAGTATAATTCTCATGTAAACATTCATCAGAAAGATGTGGGAAAACCTGTACTAAAACAAAAAAATACAATAACGAGGACTTTCTGTGTCTTTGTACGTGATTTTTACTATATATATATCTCTATATATATAGTAAAAAATATTTTTCTTGGTCGATTCTCTGATGGGTGGAGTACCCAGTCAGAACTTTCGGCTCTGAAATCGCTTTAGCACCACGGAAGTCATGTGGTATATACACTCAACCCCATAACAACACAACACCACATATTGACATATGTGGTAGACTATTGATTACAACTCGTCACTATCGACTTTTTTTCTATCGTCAAGAAGATTATTCCGTGGATGCCTAGCCTCAAACGTGTCACTGGTTCAAAGCTGACTAAAGCGGGCCTACACTTCGCTGCCGTTTCACTTATCATTGAGACGATTTGAACAAACGAGTAAAGTTCCTTTTTCTATCTAGAAGCGCTTTAGGACTCGACTGAATAGGATGTCTGTGAGCAAACCGTTCTAGTGGTATGGTCTCTTTTTGAGATTCTAGTATCATTAATATCCTTTCGAAAGTGCGCGCCAAAAAGCATTGTTGTTTTATCGGCACGCTACTGTTTCTTCTTCAACTTGTAGCACTGTTATTTAGAAGTAGATTAGCATTCGTTACGTCTCTAGTTGGAAGCGGTGTTACTTGAGAGCTTGGTAGCTACATGAAGCAATGATACAACACGAAAATATTTTTTCGTCAATGTGAAATAATTTGCTCAGTACTTGAACAGTACTCTTCATTTTGATAAGCCAGCTATGTACCGACTGAGTTACACTTTTCGCGAAGAATCTAAGCATCGATCCAAAAAAGATCGTTTTTTTTATTTTTTAATAAACACACGAGAAACAGAGTTAGATCATCATCAAAATTAGCATTTTTCATCTGCAAAATCGGATGCAGTTATAATCTTCAAAGATTATTTCCTATTTACTTCTTGTCCATAACGTGATAACTCTACAATAATAGAAATAGTGCCTTTTACCATATTGTTGTGCCACCGATGTGTATGGTTAATGGGCCCACTCGTTGCCGAGGAACAAGCGTCTGGCGTACGTCAAGGAAGCTCAGTAATAATATGTGGATCTGCCATCTAAGCGGCTAGGCTGACGGGAGCCACCGTCTGTTTACCAGCCGCGAAGTGTACGAGGTAAATATGCAAAAGGACAATACTTCCATCGAGTCTGCTCGGAGATGTCAAAAGGCAATAAAAAGACGTCCATTTCCGAACTTGAATTCGAGCTAATAAATATTGCTAAACAAATAATGAACCGCTTATGGTTATGATCTACACAAGCTGAAAGGACGTATTGTTTATTATACAAAGGATCAAGCGGTTTTTTTAATGTACATCGTGATCTTAGTCACAATATCAGCTCAGACATATATTCGCACACATAAGAGATTATTATAGCTAAAATTGTATAAGACAACTGGAAGGTCTAAAGGGACCGCTGATACCATTGTTGCTATTAACAACCATCTTTACTAATGTCAGTAATAATGATCCTTGAGTCACGCAGACCATCATCAAAGGCTCAGAGTATTCAGCTGAACATGTGTGCATTAGCGTTCGCTGAGGCACTCAGAAAAATTGAGATATAAATCATATTCTGGAAAATTCGATTGTGCCGATTGTTATTCGTAAACTTAGAACTTTAAATACTTCTAGGAAACACGCCCATCAAGTCGATACTTATGGATAATAACATCATTTTGTGGAGCTCCTTAACGTGCAAAATAGTGCACGTATTTAATATCAAAAAATACAGAAAAAACGTTTTAAGCAATATTTTGGCGACGTTTTAAGAGAGTTACCGCGTTTTCTCCAAAAAAAAATTACCCAAGAACTGATAATTATGACCGGACTACACAAGGATTTTGACTAAACAATTCTTCTATTATATCAGTAAACACTGGCGGCATCTAAATGTCATAAATAGCTGTCAGAAGCTGAACTGCAGAACTAGCAGAACTGAAGCCGTTTTACAATGAGGTGGTGCGCTAATATCATAGAGAAGTCCCATAGGTAACAGTCTTCTGCAGAGGTTTACCACGATCCGGCAAGACGTTCATGTTGCTTAACGCATTTAAATATCTACACGATAATAAATTGTTACCGTCAATCGGTTTTAGGGGACTGAATCTGAGAATTCTTGCAACACTTATAACCATCTTTTTCGATGCTCTTTTGAAATAATGTGATTTTATCTGAAAGATTCATTGTGCGCTTGCTATACGCCTTAATAATTATATACTGGTTAATTAGATAATTATTCGGAGAGATATATTAAAAGGCTAGTTTATCGTACGGTTTAGTGGAAGCTGTTCCGGTCACCTCCACCTGCCACAGCTCCAAAGCTATTTGATGCTCAACGATCGTAGCATGTATGCGTACAGAACCTACAGAGATATCGGAAAATTTTGCTTCATACCTTCGCTTTCGAATCAGTCAACGGCGTTTATGTGTGAAGTTTGTTAATGTCTCCTTTTGTAAGCCGCTCGGTAGCATATGTCATCTTCATCCGGAACCACCGTGCTGTACACTATCCAATATCCGTCGTAAGCTACGATTCCGGGATGCACCGCACAGACAGATAGACGCTTGCTTTCAGTAACCACAAAGTCCTATTCAAATATTGTAGTGAAAAAGAAGATTTTAGTAATTTGTGTTAAAGGTCTCTGTTAGTTTCCTTTATTAATTCCAAGGAGAAACAATCTTGATGTTAGGCATCCAGAGTATTATAGCTCTATCCGTAAATTCAACAAACGGTATTTGTCAAACGAAACCGTAGGCTATACCATTGACTAGCTCAAAAATCGCTGTAATAGGCAAATCTTATGACGAATTCAGCAATAATATTTATTGATATACTATTATCTGCTAAAACGGCACACTGTGGGCGTGCCCTTATGGCCTTTACGCGATCGGCGGTATCAATATTTGGTACCACGCTACGTGCGCTTGATATCTTGTCAAAATGAAGGTAAAATTACTAATATAAAGATCGATTTCAATCGGCATCGTGATCGATACAGATATCGCCGTATCCGGCCGGAGCGCGTCCATTCAGCGAGGTGATAGACGAAGGGCGTTTATTATCTCGTAGAAGGCAACTGTGTCGAAGAGTATTATATCCAGTCCCTTGTTGCGCTTTATTGCAATATAAAGCATTAATAATTAATTAATAATAGCAACATAAAGATACTGATACTGGTATCTGTGCGTAAATCTAAGTGATCTAGTAAACGAATGGCGCCTTCTTGTTGTAAAAGCCCGCGGCTGACTTTTGTATTGAAATGCATTTTCTTCTCAACTGTTCTGATTGCAATTGTGCCTTTGTCGCGGAAAGAATGCCGTACTTGCACTCGGTAAATATGGTATCTTTTGCAGGTTTCGTTGTATCCTGTATCTCTGTCGCTGGGTTTAGCGCTGCTTTAGCGCAATGTAAAATTCAGTGATTCGAGGTTATGGGATTCCTATTCCTCTATTCGCAAATAAAAATAATAAATTAGACAGATTCATCCGAGCGAAGTTTAGTTTCTATAGCAAATAAGTAAGCACTACTGTAGAGTGTTGCTGGCTTGAGAGGCTGATCTAATATTGAACAACCCTGCATTCTGAAACTGTTAAATCGGACAAATGCACAATGTGCAAATGTGATCCATGAAATATATTTATAGAAAGAATACGCTAGACGTTAGGATCGTTTCGGTCTGCGTAGTATCTGTTAACGGACAACCAGTTTAACGAATCAGTAAGGTGCCTGTGATCCCTTCGATCTGGAAATAGCCTAAGTAGGGCCTGCTTATCCAGCTGCAGAAGAGCGTATTTCACATCTACTGCAAGCATATTCAATAGAAGAGGACTAGTCTTGATATCAGAGGCATAGCACGTCATGTGGTCCGTCCAAAATCTACGGCAACTTCTCATCCTGTCCATTCAATACCTTGGCTTAGATCAACATAACCCTTTTCTAATGATGTATCTACACTTATAACATTATGATATTGATTGTAGATCCTGTTATACGTAATCGGTTGTAGCAAAACGTCTATTTGTTGTTTGATTTAGTTGTTTCCCTATCTACGATATAGCTTGTATTACCTATAAATTAATGAAATCTTATCGCAGGCCTTTCAGTCTACCTGTAATGGTACCACGTAGCAAATCATAACGCTGAATTCACCAACCACGAGGTATTTCTCCGACCCGGCAAATAACATCCCAAGCGACTTTTCCCTTCACTTCGATTAAACATGACATCACCGTATTATTTATTGACTTTGACCGCACACAGACAGCTTTACGTCCAGCTTACCTTGCGGGGCTACCATTCTGAGTTCCGTGTTTCTGCCGCTGACGCCCGCAGAAGGCATGTTATATATGTATATAGACATATGTATATGATAATCAAAGATGAAAGAGCCCGCACCAGCTTGACAGCGGCACAAACAACGCGGAAGAATGGTGACACGCGTCGCTGTACGCCTTCGTTTTGAAGCGAGTCAAATAAATCTAGATTTGAAGAAAGAGAGGAAGAAGAAGACGAACTGCACATCTGAATGGTAAGAGCCTTTGGGGAGGGGGGTGCTTATGGGTTGTCGCCGTTGTCGTTTTTGTCGGTGACCTGTTTGTCGCAAAGGTTTTGTTTCGATGAAGGTGAAGCCAGAAAAGCCCTACTCCTTTGCCTTCGGACGAGGCCAGATCGGCCACGATTTGGGCAATAGTTCTGTTGCTGTCGCCGTTTCTTCGTGCGGTGCGGTACGTTCGCTGAACGCTGTAGCTTCAGTTCTGGGTCTTTCTTCTGCTGACGTCAATCCGATTCGTCGAATGGTAGGGAGTATGTTTGTAACGTCCACCAATCTGTTCGCTGATATGACACCGGTCACATTCGGTTTGCACGACAAGCGTTGCATGGCTAGAAATGACAATACATCTAGAATGGGGCTGTACGATCATATAGTTGTACAAGTCTTTTTAGAATGCATAATTTCCAAGTGTAACGGGATTGCGTAGGGGACGGAGTAAGCCAGGGCGAATAGCAGCAGATGCATATGTGAACAATTGTAAGTTTGATAATAGACTGCCTAACTGTTACTACGCATCGAGCTTGACAATCTCAACGAAAAAACAGGTTGAAGCTATATCAGATCATTGCTTGAGTTTCCTTGTGTATAAATCGCTGTTTAACTCGTTATCATGCTTGCTAAGGCTTGCTTCTATACGATAATATGTGTACATAGCTCTTGAGATGCTGATATATGTACATTGAAGAACTCGCTTCCTTTATATTCGTAGAAATTGCATAGCATTGAGGCTTCAAGTAAACAGCAACGACGAAAGCATCATTTAAGTGGAAATCATTCACGCGTGAATATATGGCTTCCTATTATCGATAATTTGATGCAGACGAAACGTACCGAGACTTTCGATTGTCGTACCGTAACCCCTAAACAACAAAATAACTATTTACCTAACTGTATGATAGCAATGTAGTTGGGAACATGCATGCGTGCATACATCACTTCAGCAAATATACTGCAGCTACACGAATTTAGTATGTAAGGATTTCCCTTTGATTTTTGTTCTGCTTACCCCAAAAAGACTAGCCACAGCACTTTTATTTTTTAACGAATTTCTATTAATTTTCTACTCACAGTATCCACGGTGGACGACTTCTTGGAGTCGTTGGCTATATGCCCACTCTCGTACTACCGGACCAGGTCGGAATGCCGTTTTTGTTGTGTGTTGTTTCAAGCGATGACGGATATCTGAGATAAGGGACATCGGTCTCTTCCAAATTGCATAAATGTGGAACGTTGATGCAGGCAGCTTGTTGAGGCAGAGCTGAAATAACCATAAGCCCTTCATGCCAGTGTTGTATACTCGTACCTTTAATTTAACCTCGGAAGTTCCTCGAATTCGACATGCACACACACACACACACACACACACACACACACAACCAGTATGAAACTAATACGCCATGCAAAAAAATAGGATATGAACTTAATTCGCTAGAATGTCTGCTGATGCTGCTTTTATGATGAGATTATGGTATTTTACAGCATTCAAGGTGACTGAGTCGATCCGAGTCTTCAGCTGTAGCACATGATTGGTCGGCCAGTTGCTGGATCATTCCTGTCCTATACGTCACTTCTGATGAATTAGTTCCCCTGTAGTTTTCCTTTCAAGCGAATAATCTACATATGCATGCAGATTATTTGTCTGTATATACAGTACGCGTATGGATGGCTCTGATTTAGACTATATAATATATATTTCGAAGCGCCCTTTGTAATTATGTGACGAAGCATGTTGATAATATCGATGATGCTGATGGTGATGACGATGTTACAAACAAACGAACTCCTGACTCTCTGCGCCCTCTTTTTTTCACATAAGATTCTGCTGTGTGTGTGTGTGTGTGTGTGTGTGTATACATATGTATGAAGGTGCGTTCATATAGATATATGTTATGGTGGCCAAACGACATTTAATGCACGTAAAGGACATTCGCGGGAAACAAGCTCTTTTAGACAAAAGCAGCGTTATAAAGATGTTGTTAATAATTATTTTGTTTTTTGGGGCCATCATTGTCTCGTTGCCACGTCATAATCATCATTACTGTATGCCGTGAGAGTCACTCTCGCTACGGTTGCATAACAAGCTAGTTTGTGTAGTTAAAAGCGAAATAGAAGTTGGCGTATGGAGGTGGTTCATCTAGTGAACGTTTTGCTTGTAACTTATCTAGTTATGTAGAATGGCACCCTTTAGTGAGCATAGAGAAGTTTCTTCGTTGGCTAACTCGTTGTAGTGTTTACGGAGCCACCGCATACCAAGGGCCTTGAAGTTTACTTGAAGATATATAACCACTCACTGCTACGTAACGACGATAGTGCAATATTGTTACGAAAAATTGCTTTGTCCTATTTGTGTGAAAGCGTACATCTACCATTGTCTGAGGTTTTTACGTAGCAGTATGTTGAGAGAGATTCTGAATAAATCCGAAAGCTGCAATTTATATAAGTTAGTTAACATCAGCGTTTCCTAATATTCGAGTCGTTGCTAGGTGGCCACCGCGGAGATAGTTATTGAATGCCTTTTTAACCGCCGTTGATTGCCCGATAAGTCACACAAGATCATAGTGCGTGGTACCTCAGAAAAAGTAGGTCCATTTAGAGTGTTACCAGCGTTATTTGTTTAACGCGTATTAGACGACGGGCTAGATGACGATTGACGTCATTGGTGGTTCACTAAAAGTTTTATTAAGCCGTTTACCGTCACTCTTTAAACTGGTTAATCGTTTATTATTTTAAGCCCCATTTTGAAGCGTTATCGATTCGTGAGATTTCGTTTGTTGTGAAATAACGAGTGGATATATA